GGGAAAGAGAGTTCAACATCACTAGTATTCAGATAATTGCAGAATAAATTTTTAAATTATATAAATAATTATGATGATAATTATTATTTTGCCTATCCAATAGTCAAAACAATTTTTTAATAACCCCAAGCATTGGCAAGGTTCTGGTGAATGAAAGTTTTCATATATTAATGGAAGGAGTGTAGTTAGAACATTTCTGGAAGGAAATTTAACAAAATGTGATACTCTTTTCCTCAGAAATGTCATTTCTTGGAACTTATCCCAAAATACTGTGAATGTGCATAAAGGTTTGGCTACATGATGTTCATCATGGTGCTAATTATATTGTCAGAAACATCAAGAACAACTTAACGATCCCAAATAGGAGATTTTGGGTAAATAAATTGTTATTCAGTACCCAGTGTAATATAATGTCAGCCTGTGATATTTAATGACATATAACGATGTTCATGATACATTTATAAATGAGCAAAGCAGGCATTCAAAGTATCTGTACCCTGTGATATAATAAGAAATATATTTTTGGTCTTCTTCCCATTTCTGGCAAAGAGCTCTTAAAACCCTTGGAATTTCCTAAGTGATGAGAGTGATAAATGTGTCTTTTGTTGTGTTAATGAGGTGATTCTGGACCTTACCTAAGGATGGAAGCTGATTATCAAGAGAACCACATGTGATTCCAGGTTTGGAACTTTCAGATCCACTCCCCTGACCTCTGGGGAAGGGAAAGGGGCTGGAGGTTGAATCAATCACCAATGGTCAAAGATTTCATCAATCCTGCCCAGGTACCGAAGCCCAAAAGGCTAGAGTTAAGAGAGCCTCTACGTTGGTGAACCAGAACTCTTCCAAGTGCCAACGTGCTGGGACCAAAAATCCACAGGACAGGAGGTCCTTTGTGCCTCATGTTATGTATCTCTTCATCTGGCTGGTGATATCCTTTAATATTCTTCATAATAAACCAGCAATCTAGTGAGTAAACTAGCATCCTGAGTTTTATGAGTTGCTTTAGCAAATTAACGGAACCCAAGGAGGGGGTCATAGAAAGCTGTGACTTATAGCCATTTGATCAGAAGCAGAGGTAACAACCTGGACTTGAGATATCATCTGAAACAGAGGGCAGTATTGTGGGACTGAGCCTTTAACCCATATAATACGATGCTGTCTCCAGGTGGTTAGTGTCAGAATTGAGTTGAATTGTAGGACACCCAGCTGGTGTCAGAGAATTGCGTGCTGGTGTGGAAAAAAGAAAATAAACATTGGAATTGTGTGCAGAATCTTATGTGGTTACATTTTAAGGGATAAAATATGCAATAGGTAAGAGACTACAAAAACAGAATCTAAAATATGAACAGCAGTTCTCTCTAGGTGGTAGAAGTATATATAATTTTCATTTTCTTACCTTTACTTCCTCACTTTTCTGTAATAAGTATGTATTACACTTGCAATCAGGAAATAAAAACAGTGAATATTATAAAGAAAAGAAAGAAGGGAGAGAGGGAGGGAGGAAGGGAGGATGGTAAGAGTGGAGAGAAAAGAAAGAAAAGGAGAGGAGAGAAGAGGAAAGGAAAGGACAAGAAAAGAAAAGAAAAGAAAAAAGAAAAAAGCAGGAAGAGGCGGGCCCCTGGAAATTCCCAGAAATGCCTTGCTGGAAAAGGTCTGAATCCATGCATGTAGATATCCCAGGTGTCCTGGGGCATGACTTCAACATCTTTGCCCAACATGGCCAGAGTGACCAGGATACACCAACCAGTGCTCTGCTCCTTACTAGGTAACAGTCACACCTGGGAGTTAGGAACTTGACTGGTCAACACCCCAAAGACTACTCACCTACACATCTGGCCCACCTCACTCCCCAACTACAGCAAAGTTCAAGACAGGAGAATAAATAGAATCATTACTTCTGATCCCCCTCACCTGCTCAACTCTTTATTTTATTCCAAAGCACTTACCCTACTCTAACATATTATATAACCTATTGCTTTGCATATTGTTCAGTGTGTCTCTCCCTGCTAGAATGTAAGCTGCATGAGGGTGGGATCTTTGTTCTGTTCACTAATGGATCCCAGGAAACTAGAACACGCCTGGCACACAGGAGGTGCTCCATAAATATTTGTTGAATAAATAGCTCTAGAATGCTATGAGAGTTCTGAAATGTTTGTAAGGATCTACAATATCTTGAGGATTCCAGAACAAAGTATGAGCCACTCAGAGGATTGCCTTGGCTCCTTCCTGCGTCCCTTTGAGGCTAACATCCCCACTGGAAGATGCCAGAGTCACACCTTGACTTACATGGTAGGGTAAGAGGTGGTATTCTTCACGAAGATCCATGGTTCTGCAGGCTGCGGCGGAGCAAACCTCAAGGATCCAAGAGGGGGCTTGGCAAAAGGGATTCCCAGGAAAACGGCCACAGGCTGTGCAAAACCTTCTAAGCTGACATATTTTCCCAGAACTCTGCCCTGCGCGGTGTCCACAACAGGCAGTGAGGGAGGCTGTCCTGCTGGACATTGAGAGGAAATGAGAACATGTCAGTGGTGAAGGTGTGAACTGGATTCTGGGTGAATTTTGTTACTTTTGCCACGTGAGCTTGAACGTCCCTTCAACTCTCTAAGCCTCAGTTTCTTCTTATGTAAGAGAGAGTGAAGCTAACTGTCCTTCCTAACTCACAGCGCTATCTGAAGGAGCGAATTGGAATTGGAGGTATAACAGCATCAAATAAGACATAAATGCAAAAAGAAGAGCCACTGGGAATGAAGAAGGCATTCAGTTTCCACACTTAGGAGCATCTAGAAACAATCACTGGACGCTGGTGCCGAGCTGCACGCTGGATGAGAGGATGAACAAGAGCAGGCTGCTCTTCTCAGAAATCTGGCCTTATGTGGAGGATGAGCCACATACATACCTGACCCTACTGCTGAGAAGAAAGTGGTCCATGTCCTGAGAGACATACCAAGTAAGGTGCCATAGGAGACAGAAGAGGGAGCGAGGCCTTCTGACTGGTGGCTTCATGGAGGCAGTGACCTTGGAGCTGGGACTTGCAGTAGTGGAAGGAGTGACAAGGGGAGGTGGAAGAGGGTGCTTAAAGGTATAAACAGAGATGAGATTGTGCAGAGGTGAGGCTCTGCGACAGCAAAGTGCAAGACCTGCTTGAGGAAGAGCGATTGGCCCATTTGGGTCAGGAAGAGTAATGGGGGAGGAACATAATCCTGGATGAGACAGGTTCATGTCTGGGAGGGTCTCAAAGGCCAGGCCAGTGATTCGGGCTTTATTTAGTGGGTAAATGAGCAGCAGTGAACCGTCCTGGAGGAAAAGAGAGTGACACAATCAGCTTGAAGAGGCCCCTTCTGCTGCCTCTGAGCACGGTCATCCAGAGGGAGCGAGACGGGCTCAGATTCCATCTGTCCCCTTCTCGTGGAGCAGACAGTTCTTTCTCACTGAGCTGAAATGCGTCTCCCTGAAGCTGCCACATCAGTCCTGGTCCTACCTGCTCTGGGACATCCTGCACCTTCATGTGACAGGCAGCCTTAGTGACCCATGTTCATACCCATCCCTCAAGTCTTCTCTTGTCCATCCTCAACAGCTTCAGTTTGTCTAAGCATCCTAACAGGAAACGATTTCCAGCCTCTCATTCTCCCAATTGTTCCCCTTTAGATATAGACAGAAGGTCAACCTCTCTCTCAAAGTATGTGGCCAGAACAGAAAAGAATAACCCAGATTTGGTATTACAGACAAATCCGATGATAACCTTCAAGAGAGATGAAGTGGACAGATGTCCAACTGGCAAGGGTGAAAAAGTGGGTGATTGGCTGGTAACAGCAGCAGTTACCACTTGTGTTATATGTAATGTTTGTATACTGAGCACTTACTATGTGCTACATGGGCATTCCAGTTCCTTTAAACTGATCTTCACAAAAGACTTGCTAGGTAGACATTAATATGTTCATTTTACAGATGAGGTAACTGAGGAAATGGAGGCAGCCAGTATGGACTTTCTAAAGGTGGAAGTGGCATGGCCCTGCCAGGGGGTAAACAGCAGTAAGGGAATAATCTGCCCCTAATTTGGTTCTTACTCTGCTCTTACCCTCAGTTCCAGGCCTCTCACAGTGTCATAGGCCCAGGAAGAAGATAAAACCCAGTGGAGCCTGGGCTGTCAGTGCACTGACAGCCAGAGCACTGGCTCTGGACTCGAGTTAGAGATAGAATTCAGAGCATAATTTTCCGGTTGACCTTGGGCATGTACATTTCCCTCTCTGAGTCTCAGTTTCCCCATCTATAAAATGGCACAGATGCATTCTGAGGTCCCTTGCTGCACCCTTGTATTAACCAGGCCTTTTATGTTCTGTATTCTGATGCCTTGACACCTGGTGCCTTGCTGATTCTGGAGGGACTGCCCCTCCCAGAGTTCGCCAATCCCTAATGATAGGAATGAACTTCCCCTTCAAGCGTGCCAGAGCCTGTACCCCAACTGCCTTCTTTATCAGGCCCTCCATATCTGGCCACTATCATCCTGCCCTAATCACTCCAGGCCAAGTACCTGACAACTGTGGGAACTCCCTAAGCCCCAGAGCCCATTGCAATCGGCAGCCAATCCCAAACCTGCTTATTCTGCTTCACCTGTATCTTCCCCCCAGCAACCAAGATAAAGGTTCTTGCACCCAATTCCTCCTTCCTTCCTCTGCCTCCTGATGCAGCCGGTGCCTCACCTGTGGCCCACCATGGTGGTGTCACGCCCCCTCCTCTGGGGAGCTGTGAGTAACAAACTATCTTTTCAGTGGCAGTTGGCTCCTGATCCATGGCCTTACCACACCTCAGATTGTCTATTAATACACTATATCTTAAAACAACCCTTTTATTTATGAATTACTTTATTTTTCTTTCTCCATTCCAGGCACTCTTTAGAAACAACAACCCATTTCAACCTTACAGCAGCCCAGTGAGGTAGATACAGTTGTCACCCCCATTTTAGAAATGCAAAACTGAGGCACAGAAAAAGGACATCCCTTGCCGAAGAACACACAGCTACTAAGTGCTGAGCTGGATGCGAACCCACACACTCTGACTCCAGAATGGATATCAATATTCTGCTAACCCACTTTTGGCCATATCTGGACTAATAATCAAGGGGTTGCCTTGATACATGGAGCTTGCCAAAGTCCTCAACTGCCAGGGGCGAGGTTAGCTGGCTGCCCTCCTGCACGTGGCATAGCCCGGTTATCTTCCTCTCTGTCTCCTGTCACTGGGGCTGGCTGGGCAGACTCAGAGTCCTGACAGCACGTGCTACTGCAGAACCCGGCCTGTCACTCCTTTGCCCTGTACGCATCTCCTCTACCTTGTCCTCCATGAAGATTTCCAAAGATGCCCCCGCTGTTTGCATTTCAGAAGGACTCACCCCAAGCTGTGGAAGTGGCGAGGGAGGTCAGGACCAGAAGGAGAAGCCACATCGTGGAAGGACAGCAATTTCTGGGCCTGCAGGTCTCTGTGTCCACAGAGGGCCTTATGAGTCCACCCCCCAGTTCCTGCCCCCCTCCAACTCCCACCCCCAGCTCTGCCCCCGCCACCCAATAGCCTGATGAAGAGACAACAGAAAAGCTCTTCCCCTTCCCAAAGATGCAACGGGCGGCTGTTGGCGCCTCCAAGCCCCACCCTCCCAGAGTTTACCCTCTTTTATCAAAAGAGTCTGGATTAAACTCTCTGATTACAGATAGCCACCTACTCATTCAACAACTTGTTTCATAAGTGTTTCATAAGTAAGTGTTTTTCCCTTCCTGGACTCTAACCTTAGTGTGCTGTGGGCTACCCAAGGCAGACAAGCAGACAGAGGCCTTTAGACAAGGGGAGGCTTTGGCGTGGGGTCCTCAGAACAACTTGAAAACTTTCAGAGCGACTCCCAGCTCCAGCTGGAGAACTTAGGGCAAATCTCTTAGCTTCCCTGAGCTTCTATTTCATAGAGTTCCATGCTTTCCACTTTGGAAGCATCTTAAATTTCATCCCATTTCCCTTTTGATGCCTGGATTAACTTTTCAGTATTCCTGCCAATTAACTCAGCCTCCTGTTGCACACCTCCAGGGTCAGGGAATTCATTACCTCTCCACGCAGGGATCTTTGGACAGAATGTTCTTATAGTAAAGGAACTCCATGTCTTCATAATCCCTCGCTCTAACTATCCATCCTTCCATTTATTCATTATTCCCTTTATTTATTCATTCTTCAAACATTTATCAAATGCCTGCCTCTGTGCTAGGTAGTATGGATACAAAGATAAATTTGAGACATGTTCTAGTGCCCAGAGGATCTCACCATGTAATAGATAAGATAGATGGGGGAAGGGGTGGCTTGCTATGCAATGTGAGAGCACCAAAATAAAGGGACACAAAGTGCTCTGGGTATACCTGGAAGAGTGCCATTTACCTGATGGGGATGCAAGGAGGATGCTTAAAGCCTGTTTCATTGAATCATTAAGTGTCCAATGAAAGAGAATTCTCCAAATACACTGTGATATTGATACTTAGCTGGCTAAGACAATACTACACATTCACTCAAACTAGAGATGCATACCTCTACATATGGACAAGGGAATACAGTCATGATCCATTGTGAAGGAAAATAAAACAGGTTATAAAATAGTTATGGCTGCTTCGGGACACAGTTTGGCAGTTCGTCAAAAATTAAACTTAGAAAAAATTAAACTTAGAATTACCATATTTCATAGCAATTTCACTCCTAGGTATATACCCAAGCTAATTGAAAATATGTCCACACAAAAACTTGTACTCAAATGGCAGCATTCTTCAAAAAAGTCGAAAGTGGAAACAACCAAAATGTCCATCAACTGATGAATGGACAACGAGATATGATCTAACCACACAATGGAATATTATTCAGACATAAAAAGAAATGAAGTATGGATACTTGCTACAATGTGGAGGAACCTTAAAAACAGTATGCTAATGGAAAAAGCCAGACACAAAAGGCCAGATATTGTATGATTCTATTTATGAGATGTTCACAATAAGCAAATCCATAGAGACAGAACGTAGATTAGAGGTTTCTATGGGCTGGGGACGAGGGGAATAAGGAATGACTCCTAATGGGTATAAGGTTTCTTTTAGGTGCGATGAAAATTTTCTGAGATTGGATACTGGTGATGGTTAAACAACTTTGTGAATATACTAATATCAACTAAACTGTACACTTTAAAAAGGTGAATGGTATGTGTATTGTATTTCAAAAAAATAAATATTTAAAAAATCCCATCATGTATAATATCCCATGTTAAAAAACAAAGTTCTACTTTGTAAATTTGAAGATCTAATTGGTTTTTCAAATGATTCACGAACCAGGTGGCAAGCAGAAAAGAAAAGGTTTTAAAGGCAGAGAGGAAGTAGGACAAGGAAGTCATAAACAAACAAAAATGATGATTTCAGGCAGGGTTACCTTCTTTGAGGGGATAAGAGGGTCTATTATGCATACCACCTCACTGGTGCTGACCAGGAAATTCCAGACTGACTGGTTAAGATTACATTCCTGGGGAAGGTTGAAACTACAATTAAGTTAGGTACTAAATCTTCATTTGGTGACGAGGGCTTAGCACAAGTGACTGCATTTGGGGTCTGTTGTTTCTTTTTTTTTTTTTAACATTTCCCCTCTTTTGATCAAATTCTTGGCTTAACTGAGAGATGTGATCAAAATCGAAGGCATCAGCACCACTCTCAGCTACTGGTCACAACTTTTGTGGATCCTTTGTGTGGTGTCCATAGCTCATCATATTTTTGTCTAATCCCCGTGACGGTCACAGGTCATGGCTTTAGGTTCATAATACTTAAGTGGTTATGCTCTTTCCTTTTTTTCTTTTTTTTTTTAACATCTTTATTGGAGTATAATTGTTTTACAATGGTGTGTTAGCTTCTGCTTTATAACAAAGTGAATCAGTTATACATATACATATCTTCCCATATCTCTTCCCTCTTGCGTCTCCCTCCCTCCCTCCCTCCCACCCTTCCCTACCCCACCCCTCTAGGTGGTCACAAACCACCGAGCTGATCTCCCTGTGCTATGCGGCTGCTTCCCACTAGCTATCTATTTTACGTTTGGTAGTGTATATATGTCCATGCCACTCTCTCACTTCGTCCCAGCTTACCCTTCCCCCTCCCCATATCCTCAAGTCCATTCTCTAGTAGGTCTGTGTCTTTATCTTAGTGAGATCATTTGCGTGGTCCTTAGCAGCTGGGAACGCGTATGTAAAACCTTCGAGAGAATACAATGCACCACAGAAATGATTATGATTGTAATTAGCAGGATAATTCTCAATGTTTGGAGTACACTCTAGAGCCATGGTCCCTAAGACCCAAACCAATCAAAATCAAATAAGTCCAAGAAAGACTTATTGAAGAAGTCACTTTTTTAAGCCAAGTGGCTTGCTCAGTGATCTTATATAACTGTTCTTATGTAACTAAGTTACTTCCCCAGAAATATTAATCCAAGTGCAGCAAGTGGTGTTGGCCAAAGCACAGATACCTCCTTGCTCAGCTAAAAGATAATCAAGGGCTATCCTGTTATTAAAAACAACTTTGGCCAGAGTCTCAGAATTTTTCTGAGCTATTGCTTTAGTGGCAGATTCCATAATACTTTCAAGAGTTAAGAAGAGGTTCCTGATCACAGCCTCATTTACATTTACTCCTAACCAGGGAAGCAGGGCCTTCTTTCAAAGGAAGAGAATCTTGAAAATTGAATGCCTCCTGGTAATTCCCATTTAAATTTTTGGCTCAGCATTGGAAAGGTGACAGCCATTGAGGCCAGTAAAAGGGTCTGTAGACCACACAGGCAGTTTTATTCTGGTTACCCTTTCCTCATGTACTTTTCTTTGCATACAGCCTGGACACAAGGTTTCCCAAGTTTGGGGATGTTAACCAGAGATAAGGAAATGGACCAGGGTGACCCTGGCATCACGGACAGATAAGAGTTTTTTAAATGACAAATCCAGCAGTCTGAAAACTTACCCCCTTTAGCAATGGTCTTGGAGATATGGATAATGGCATCATCTTTCTAGGCCAATGCCAGAGTAAAGGAAAGAAAGAGAAGAAAAAAAAGGTTTCATATTTAGTTAAAGTGTGAAGTCCCGATCCGACATCTTTGGTGGAAGAAGTCTACCTTGATGTCAGCTGCTTCTCTCCAGTCAGTTGGATGTGGTGGCCTCCAGCATTTGTACAGGACTAGATGACAGGTGGAGCCTTTTTCAGCTGTGAGATATATATCTAAGGTTCAAGTTCCTGAAGTCTGGCTGCCGTCTGGATAGTAGGAGGAAGACCTGGATCCTTCTAAGGAGATCCAAGGGCAGTCTTTGTTCTTAGTGATTCTAAATCAGAAGGGTGGGAGATAATTGGAAACATTAGTTTGGAGATTTGTAGCCAGATATTTGAGGAAACTAGAAGAATTCAAGATCCAGTCCAATTAACAGGTATATAGCAAAACCTCAAAGGCAATTATCAGGATTATGCAAAAATAATTTTTCTCTCTACAACCATCCACATTTCTTATTTTCCAAGGATAATCACAGTAAAACTTAATTTGTTTGTATTAAATTTGGCTTGATTATTTACATAAGTGCAGCAAGAATAGTTGACCATACACGTTCTTTTTTTTTTTTTTTTTTTTTTTTTTTCCTGGCGTTATGCGGGCCTCTCACTGTTGTGGCCTCTCCCATTTGCGGAGCACAGGCTCCGGACGCGCAGGCTCAGCGGCCATGGCTCACGGGCCCAGCCGCTCCGCGGCCTGTGGGATCTTCCCGAAACGGGGCACGAACCCGCGTCTCCTGCATCGGCAGGCGGACTCTCAAGCACTGCGCCACCAGGGAAGCCCCATACACGTTCTTTTTGAGACTGCTTCATTGGCACTTTTCATAAGGAATCTCAGACTGAACTCTTAAAAAGCCTCTAAGGCCAAGAATTCACCATCAGTTTTTACCTGCAATACCTATACTTTGGGTAAATTCCTCTCTTCTTGAGGTTCCTGGGTCTGCCAGGAAGTTACCTGCCTTACTCACCTGGTAAGGTTGCTGGGAACACTGTAAGCAAGGTACCAGGCTGATTTTTTTTCAAACAGTTCCTTAAAGTTGTCTGGTCAATTTGAGCCTTTATACCTCTCTCTTTTTTTTAAAGGGAGCTGGGAATTTTTTTTTTAATTATTTATTTATTTTATTTTATTATTTATTTTGGCTGCACCAGCTCTTAGTTGTGGCAGGTGGGCTCCTTAGTTGCAGCCCACAGGCTCCTTAGTTGCAGCTTGAGGGCTCCTTTGTTGCAGCACATGTGCTCCTTAGTTGTGGCCAGCAGGCTCCTTAGTGTGGCATGCAAACTCTTAGTTGTGGCATGCATGTGGGATCTAGTTCCCTGACCGGGGATCAAACCCACATCCCCTGCATTGGAAGGTGAATTCTTAACCACTG